TAGAAATTATCCCTAGGAACTCGCCTTCCATTTTACAATCACTTGTATCAGATATCCAATCGTTTGCTGTAGCGAATAACATGTGCCTTAATCCGTCCAAATGTAAGGAAATGTCGGTTGACTTTTTGCAGTACAACAGCTACGTGTCTCAGTCCATTGCCACCGGGGGCTATGTCATCGAGCGCGTTAAGTCGTTCAAGCTTCTAGGCGTGTATGTGTCAGATGACTTATCATGGAATGCACACGTGGACTACGTACTGAAAAAAGCCAACCGTAGATTGTATGCATTGCGGCAACTTAAACGTTGTGGCGTGTCACCAGCCGACATAGTGTTGGTCTATTGTTCTCTAATTCGATCAGTAATAGAGTACGCGTCTGCGGTATATGCTAACTTGCCGCAATATCTTTCAAACTCTCTGGAGTCCATACAAAAACGCGCTCTGAGAATCATTTTCTCGCACATGTCATACGAAGATGCCTTAGAGAAAGCTAATCTGAATACACTTGCAAGTAGAAGGGACACAAAATGTGCTAGGTTTGTTAAGAACATTGCACCGGACAATCCTCTCTATAGCCTGATTAATGGTACAAGAGTCAAGAGAGACACTCATTATAATTTAAGACCATCAGCCATGTTTCGATGTAGGAAAACTAACACAGACCGCTTTGGAAAGAAAGCTTTGAAGGTGTTTCCCTAGTAGTTGTGTGAGGTGTAGCGCGGTATTTAAACAATACTCGCAGCAACTTGCTTTCTAGAGTTCCATCAGAGTGCTTAAGTCCATCCTTTACTATGTTGACAGCTTTTTCAGCAATGCCATTCGAAGATGGACGGTAGGGAGCTACTGTTATGTGTCGAACTCCATTCTGTTCCATGAAGTCCTTGAACTCCTTGCTAGTAAAGCATGTGCCATTATCGGAGACTACTGTGTCAGGAAGACCATGAGTAGAAAATGAAGCTCTTAATTTTTCAATTGTAGCAGATGAGGTGGCAGTTCCAGTGACAAATGCATCGATCCACTTTGAGTGTGCATCAATGATCACGAGGACCATCTTGTTACCTGGTAAAGGCCCTGCATAATCAACATAAACATGACATAAACATGGACGATTGGAAACTCCCAAGGATGTAATGGTGCAGGACATGGAGGAGGTCTTGTGCTCTGACACGTGTTGCAAACCCGAACAGCTTGTTCAATATCTTTGTCTATGCCTGGCCAATAGACGTATCGTCTTGCAAAGGACTTTGTCTTTACAATACCAACATGCCCTTCGTGGAGCATTTCAAGGACTTCAGGTTGAAGATTACTTGGGATGACAATTCTGTTGACACATCCCTGTTCCAGACTTAATTCATTTCTGCGGTTATGGTAGGGGCGCAGGTCATCATCAATTGAGTCAGGCCATCCCAATTCAAGATAACGCAGTACTTTTGACAGCACAGAATCACGGGCAGATTGGTCTGCAATCAACGTGGGTGCAGATGAAAGAAACTTCAGTAGAAGTATGGACTCAGCAGGCATGGGAACAGTTTACGGAGTGTCCGGCAATGGTAACCGACTGAAAGCATCAGCATGAGGTATCTGAGCACCTCATAATAGCATAACTCATAATCGTAAGCTAAGAGTGTTAGCGACCAACGTAGAATACGCCCTGAAGCCATAGTAGAAAATGATTTTCGTCCTCCGAAAAGTGTCTCTAGGGGTCTGTGATCATTGTTGATGATGAAATGTCGGTCGTAGAGATAATTGTGAAACTTTTTTTGACCCCCCATACAACGCCAAGGGCCTCCTTTTCCAGTTGAGAATATCCCTTTTCAGCAACGGTGAGTGAACGTGAAGAACAGCTAATTGGCCTTTCTACTCCATCGATGACATGTGAGATCACATGAGGCTTGTTGTGATCTTTGTTTGGCTTTACATACCTTTTCTATGTGACCCTCTTTGCCACAAAAGAAACAAGACGATAACAGGCTTTCTTAATTTTGGGTAACTCTCTGGTCTCCACTTTGTGGACCTCCRAAACAGGCGGTGCAGGGACTTGCTGTTGTATATTTTTGGCCTTTGATTTCAAAGGCTTTTTGTAAAAGTGWGTTAATCGTAATCGAYGGAAAGTAGTCGCTTTTGTATTGTCTTCGTGTATCCCCATGACGAGTCGGTCTCGCAGCATTTCTTCTRGAACCGCACCAAACTGACATGTTTCGCTAAATTCTCTCAAGTTAGCGGCAAATGATGCAACAGACTGATCTGTTGTTCGCTCACAGCGATAAAATTTGAACCGTTGAACTATTGGCTAGGGTTTTGGGTTGCTTTTTTGGTGAAACTAGTGAACCTAGAAGTCTGTATATTTTGGCGCCAACGAMGCGTAGGAGTATGGCTCTCTTCTTGWTTTYATCTTCGACGTCGTTCGCCAAGAAATATTGAGAAGGTCGTTCCGAATAGTTGATCCATTTTTCGTTAGTAGGGTCAAATTCTTCGATTTTACCATACACTGTCATTTTTAGTTATCCTCGTCGCCAAAATGACCTGTATCAGGCTAAGACAGAAGAGTAAATACAACACCTCGTGGCTAAGTCCGCCATGTTTTATTGTAAACCAAAAAACCCTGCCGCAGGGCAGTATGGGAACTAACACAGGGGGCCCAATACACAACATTTAGGATGAAGTGAAGCCTTAGTTGATTGTCTTCGAAATCACTGTATTCGGTCACTACTGGATAGCATCATGAAGCTTGAAATGTAGAAGAGCTAATCTTCTGAAAGAAAACAGGAGAGAATCACACTTTCAATGGAAGTATTCTGAAAAGTGTGTTAGCTTGACCAAACACAATTTTCCTCATCTGCCATATAAACATTTGAGACTTAGAATTATGAAATAAGACACCGAAAACAAGAATTGAGGAGGGGCTTGGCACTTAAAATATTTTTTAAAACAACAGAAAGTAGGACAGAACGCTCGATGACAAGGTCTTTTTCCCAGAATGCATTGCAAGCATCAAAGAACGTAAGGAAGACAAAAAATAGCCGCAAAATTTACTATAGGTCAAATGTACGGCCAGTCAAGGAAAGGGAGTCATATTGGCTTGAACAGTTGATATGTGAATGCTGTTGAGCTTGATTGTTGTCAATTTTCAGGACTCGAGAGCAAAGTCAAGATGTACATTGAAGTTCTGTTTTGGAAACTTGTCATTAAGGATGTTTACTGGCCTTATGGGTTCCAGTCCTCCTCGGTCAAATTAATGGTAAGCATTTCGAGTAGGTTGCTGATGTTGTATTGAGATGGTTTCTTCGCTGAGACTTTTCAAGTGCAATAGAGCATCAGACTGTCATGTTCACTTCCTTGTTCGGCTTCCAAACGATGCGAGCAATGGGAAAATAAGATTTTAAATGCTGTTTACCYCCCTGGCTTTGATTTGCGCACGAAGTGCACCCCAAATTTGGACTCCTCGTCCAAAATTACATAAGAACGTGCCCTTTTCAGCTGCTTAAGTAGTGTTATTATAAAAAAATATAACTATATAACCCTTTTAGAATTAATAAACTTACTGCGTMACATGTATCCAGTTTTTGCATAATTTCGATGTTTAGTCGTTCCAGGAAGGGTCTGGTGTCCGTTCTTCCAACAGCCTTCGTCCCGTCTTTGATGATAACTTCTAAAATTTGTTGTATCATTGATACGTCTACAATACTTTACGTCGTAACGTTGTCGAACTGAAAATCAAGATTAATTATATGATCTAGAGGGGAGGTTTTCTCTATAGAACTATCATGTTGCCATTATCATTATTATTATTATGGGTCATTGTCTCTGTCATAGCCAACATTTGTTTTTGTTGTTGTTGATTAATTAAAACAATCATTGCACAAGTTTTTTTCTAAAATTCTAAKGTACCAAGGTGGAGAAATCGCGTATGTACAATATCTTCATGGGTTAATTTTGTTTTGATTGTGAAAATCGACGTTCGACCTGTTAGTCAGTCAGATCAGTTTGAGGAARTGACCAAAATRTATAATAAAATAAAATGTACTMAAYGAATTGATCCATCTGGATTAATTTATTGAGACTCACCATCACGTAAGTGGAGATAACCKCTCGCATCCCTTGAACCACAGACTCTCTACCTTCTTTTTAACCAATGGTTACATAATCTCCTCTATTTCGTTGATTTGATGGTTGATCTGCGCCCAGCGTTGGTTGTGGATCGCTATCAGCATTCCCTTTGGATAAAATATACGCGAAGAACTTAATAATTGAAGAAAGTCAAAATTGAATAAATGGTAAAACTCAAGAGGGATGGGTGTCACAACAACACATATTTTAGAAAGACATTGGGAATCGAAGCTATATTCTATATTTGGTATAAATACATGTTAACCTACCTTATTTCTTGAAAGAAGCTCCATTTTATTTATATTTATTGTTCAGTTTCAAGATATATTTACAATGATAATTTCTATTATTTTTCTTCTTTTCCTTTCACAATTTGTATGAATTTTAAACCGATCAGAGAAAAGAGTATTCAGTTTTTGAGCGTGGAGGCAAAGTTAACTGAAAGTTTTGTAGTTAGACGTTCAAGTTCCCCCTCGTTTGAACTACTGAAAGATAGGTCATTTTTCCATTGGCTGTTGGTTTTAGTTGAGTTGAGGTTTGTTTCTGGATTTGAATCATGAAAAGCCAATGTGATGGGACATTGACATTGTTTACTCTTAGAAATTGCCACTGATCGTTTGATGCCTGGTAGTGGCTTAAAAATAAACAAATGCTGTGTTTTCATGGAAAACAGATAAATCGAACGATTGAATAACGTAGCGCAGCTGAAGATGTCGATAGTTTCTGCCCACGTGCCAGGATTTCGAGCCATCTTAACATGCTGCAAGACTGATGAGCTTCTAAAGAGGAAAGGCTCAAATCGAGCTCGATTTTCGTCGATCAAATCACACGTAAGTCTTCTGACTTCGTGATGATTTTRKTCGCTCACTTGGTCTCTCCACAACGCTACAGCTCGGTAAAAACAGTTACCATCGCCACGCACTATTATTTCACGTCGACTACATAATATATTTTACACCCATTTTCAGAATTACGAGAGCTAACGGACTCAAGGTATCTTGTGTTCAGACTTCTGTCAATCAAAGTGATGACGTAAACACAACCAATCTGACACAACCAATATTGCGTCGGACGAAGTTAAGTCTGTTTCTGATGAGTTTAACATTAACTATACCAGTGAATTAGACTMGGAAGAAACGCAAATTGTTGATGAATACAAGGTAAGATAGCTGTTTCATCATATAAAGCTAGTTTTGATCTCATTTTGCTTGCAGTTCCTTAGGTTGTGACCTGATTTCACAGGCCATGCCAAAACTCAGTTTCCTGCACGTGCTCGTGTGCATGTCCGAAATATTGTCGTTTGTATTTCTTCTACTGTGCAGAGAGAAGTCGCTCTTTACCTCGATGTGGATAAAGGAAAAGTCGCTGGTGCAGAAACAACATCGTTTATCCTTACCAGACGATGGACTTATGAAGTGCTTCGTCACTGCGTTCAAGATTACATTCCGAGAAATGACATAAGCAAAAAAAAGTTTCTCGCATTTATTATAAACGCGCTAAAGGAAAAGCTGTGGTTCGTCTGTCACATATATTCCACAATCAGGTCTCTGGTCTTGGCTTCAGAAGGGAAGCTTATACCATCTTAATAGTGCAATTTGAATTATATTCCTATGGAGCTTGAAGCAAAAATTTACAAAGAATAACATTTGACAAAAAGTATGATCATCCCTTTTTTATCAATAGCTTCAGAAAAACCACAAAACAGAAAACGAAAACTTGACATGGATGGAGGCAAAAAAGCAGCTAACGACTTATGGAATGACATCCACGTGTCACTAGTCCGTGCCCTGAAAAGAAGGGAATATTGTGGCGCTATAGTATCGGACACTTCAAGATATGGACAGATTTGGTATATGAAGGGAAATTGGCCGGGATCAGTGAAGAACCAGTATGGGAAGACCATTTGGAATTAGTAAAAGTTCCTCCCAAATCCAGGAGATACAGTGACAGTTTATCTAGTGCAAGCTCAAGTTCACCTTCATCCTCAGCTAACTGCAGTGTCAACAGTCCAACAGCTWCTTCAAATCAGAATAGTATGATGGAACTTCTTATGGTTCAGAACCAAATGACGATGGAAATGGAGGYAAACAAGACTGACATGTATCCGACTACTCTTCTTGCACTACTGGGCTCTAACACAAGGAACATGGTAGGGGTGGTACATTGATATATTGTTTGTATAGAGTGATGCAAGGAATTTTGGCATTACTTCACAGGTTTCACATTTATAACATTCARTATCATATGTAAGATTTTATATATAAATGAACCAGAAAAAAAAACACTTTATTATTATATAATAAAGAAACAACAAAAAAAACACTATATTATTTGATAACCATTAGCTTTGCACCATGCTTTTGAATGATAAATTATATGATGTCAATAGATTTATTGATTGAAATTGGACTATA